ATTTGTTCTTTATTATATACTTTTGTTCATAATCTTTGAATAAAAATATCCTTGTATATATATATTTAGATTTGTGTTGTAATGTGTGAATCAGACCATTTGTTTGTGAGAAGCAAAAATTTTACACAAAAATACTACCCAACTTACAAATAACTACCTAAGGTTATCTGTGGTCCAAAAAATGTTTGTCAAGCGTTTATCCATGATTTTATTGGTTCGCACTGAAAAATGAAGCATACCACCCTCACAAGATCTTTAAGAATGTTGGAGCTGTATTAAGAACTGGGATAGGGTTTATGACTATTGGCTTTTGTAGTGTAGCCCTATTATATTGCAATATTGGCTAGCATGACTTAGAGTGTAGGCAGTGAGATCTTTTGATAGAATAAACAGGATGATCAAAAGATGGAATCAACTGGCAGTTGATTCCATCTTTTGACTATCCTGTTTGAGAAGAAGTTGTACTAGACATCAGACTTGTTTTGTTCTCTGGTTAGAAAGATTCTTTGTCTTGTACAGTGGTGGTGTTTTTCTTGGGTTGGACTTATTTAGTCTATTTTCAGTTTTAAATTGTTATATTTAGTCTCCTCTTCTTCATCTTTTTTCCAGTGTTGTCAGAATAAGATCTTCTCCTTGTTGACATTGCTATTACAGAGTTGATTTGCTGATGCCTTTTTAAATCTAAGCTAATGATCACTCCCAAGTCTTTCTCAAATTCTACTTTTGATAATTAATGCCTATTTACCTGATAGTTAAAATTTTTATTTAGTTTACCAATGTGGATTACATTTACATTTTTCTCATTTAAAGATTTTTTCCGTTTTTTGTACCATTTTGATATAGTCTTAAAATTGTTTTGCAAACTAATTGAATTGTTTTTGTCAATTTTGTGACAAAAACAGTTCCAAAAAAATTTGTGGACTATTTTTGATTTTTTTTGCCTAGTCGTTTATAGTTGTTGTAAATTATAAATAGTAATGGTCCCAAAAACAAACCTTGAGAAACCCCGCTAGGCATGTGTAGCTATTCTGAAACGATATCTTCTAGTTTGACATGCGTTTTTGATTTTTAAAGTAGTTTACTATCCAGTTGAGCATCTTATTTACTATTCCCTATGATATTAATTTTCTTAAACAAAGTTGTGTTTGGTACTTGATTGAATGCTTTGCTGAAGTCTGTAAATATTATATCAACTGGAATGTGGTTCTCAGTAGCTTTTGTAATTAAATCGAACAACTCAATCAAATTTGTTATACATAATTTTCCCTCAATAAAGATCTGTTGATCATTTAATATTAAGGATCCTTTCAATTTCATATGTGAGTTCAAACTATATTTTTTCTTTGTCTAGATTTGAGTGATTTATACAGACACCACCTCCCCTTTTCCCTTCTTTATTGTGATAGAATGTTTAGTATCTGCTTATTGTGATAGTATATTTAGTATTCACTTATGCTTGGTATAGAATAGTTATTAAACCAAGTTTCAGAAATTCCTTTAATAATTTATGGGAATTTCTAATCCTAATTTAAAATTGACCTTACTAGTTGTAAAGTTAGTTTGTTATTTATAAATGGTAGAAAAGATGTAATTTTAGATGTAATTTTTGTGTATTGTTGTTTTTTGGGTCAATACTTTTAGTACAAAATTTTGGTCGTTTTTTAAACTTATAATTGACTTTTTGTGACTATTAATTTCATTTTTTTGGTCTTTTGAATTGTGTTGCTCCTGATACCATAACAAAAGGGGGATTTTTCTGTCAGATTGACATTTAGTTTGCTTCTTACTTTGGGCAAATCATAGTCGTACTTGGCTTGGTCTGATTTCACATCCAGAAAAATGAATACATTAGGAAAATATGCTTAACTTTTAATCAACAGCTTTCTTTTCTTTATCAGTTGTTTCAGTTGGTTGATACTGAAACACCATAATAATATTTTTCTCCTTTTTTTTTCTTGAGTTTTTCTTCAAATGAAATCACATCAAGTATACTTATTTGCTGAGGTATTAATTTACAGCTAAGTTACAACATTACTTCATATATATATATATATATATATATATATATATATATATATATATATATATATATATATATATATATATATATATATATATATATATATATATATATATATATATATATATATATATATATATATATATATATATATATATATATATATATATATATATATATATATATATATATATAGTATATATATATATATATATATATATATATATATATATATATATATATATATATATATATATATATATATATATATATATATATATATATATATATATATTATAGTGGTAATTCTAATAAGATATTGGTAATCATATTCTTGTTCTGTATGGTTATCTTCTTTTTAAATATTTTATAATTTGTCGTTTTGTAATAAGTTATTTTATTAAATTTTTATTGGTAATTGTCTTCGTTGTTGATTTATTCTCTTTAACACAAAAAGTAATTTTTTATAATGAGTGTTTATTGCTATAAAAAAAAAGCAGCTTGTACTTTGTCCCTCTGGGAATAATATAAGTTTTTTGTTACAGTTAAATACAGATTTAACAAAACCAAATTTTTTTCTTTAGAAACAAAAGCAATAGTGATAGTCTTTTGAAGCAAATATAATAAATAAATAAACAAAAGTACTCTGAAACAAAAAATATCACCATATACAGGAGCAAGTTTTTGGGTTACTACAGTAAAATTCAATTTTATTGATTTACAACTCACTAGTTACTGGTTAAAAATGCCTTGATACTTTAATACCAGATGTTTGATGAAAATCTATTTTGAAATCTTTTAAGAAATCTATTATGAAAATTTATTTTAAATAATATTTAAGTCTCTGTAAATGTTCACGAGTCTTACTTAAACGGTCCAATCTTAAAAATATTTTTTATTTAAAAGTTTTTTGAATCCAATGTTAGTATATAGAACATATTAATAGTATATATATATATATACATATATATATATATACATATATATATATATATATATATATATATATATATATATATATATATATATATATATATATATATATATATATATATATATATATATATATATATATATATATATATATATATGTATATATATATATATATATATACAGAGGTGGCCAAAAATTAAAGACCACTGATTTTTTAGTTGGTTAAATCAAAATTAAGAAAATTCTAATTGACATATTAAACTTTTTTTTTAATATCTTGTTAGTTAAAATATACGGACTAAAACGGTATAATTTTTTTAATCTAATTCTAATTAAATAGCGTTTAACTTATTAAAAAACTGATGAGTACTTATAAATTTTCTTTAAATAAATTGGACAAAATTTAACGACCAAAATCTAAATCTTTCAAATCTTTAATTTGCACTTATTAAAAATAATAATTGATTATTTTTTTAAACTGTCATAATTGCTTATTACGTTGGCTATAAAATAAAATGTCGAAACCTGAGTTTCAATATCAAATGAACATATATTTTTTGAATTGCAATAAGGATATAAAAATATTGCAAAAATGCGTGCAAATGTCGAAAAAAGACAGATATGTGGCTCTTGTATTAAAAGAAGGCTATAGCATCATACAAATAGCAAAAAAGCTCGGAAGGTCTCACTCTTGCATTACTAACATAATTCAACAATACAAAGAGACCGGGTCAATTAATGATCGTCACAGGACTGGGCGCAGTAAAATTTCAAATGACCGTGATGTTCGCTCGTTAGTGAGATTAATGAAAGAAAACAGGCAAGCATCATCTACAGACTTGTCTACGAAATGGACACTGTCAAATGGTCTAAAAGCAAGCCCTAGAACTGTGCAAAGGGTCCTCCACAATTTAAATTATTTATGGCTTGCTGCTGCAAATAAACTACGCTTAAATCAAAAACAAAAATTTGCCAGGAAAGAGTGATGCAAACTACATAAAAATTGGTCAACAGATCAGTGGAGTCGTGTGGTCTTTAGTAATGAAATGAACGTTGAGGTAGACAACAGAAAAGGTCGCGTAATGTTGCGTAGACTTCCAAGCGAACGATACAATGAATCATGCATTTTGAAATGAACAAAACAAGGCAGTGGTTCAATAGGCATTTGGGCCTGTATGAGTGCCTGTGGAGTTAGCGTTTTTCATTTATTCGATGGTAGACTCAACAAAGAAAGGTACATCGAAATTTTGGAAAACTCGCTTATTCCTAGCATTGATTTATGGCAGTTGCAAGATGGGTTTATTTTCCAGCAAGATAATGCGCCATAATGTGTCATAAAGCGCATGTTGTTAGCAATTGGTTCAATTCTAATAAAATTCAAGTGCTTCCATGGATTGCCAATAATCCAGACTTAAATCCAATAGAGAATTTATGGTCGTGGCTTGATCACAAGCTTGGTAAAGAACAACTTTACAATTTGGAAGATTTGAAATTTTCTATCTCTCATCATTTAAATAATGTGCCAGATGAAGTAATCAAAACTTTAATGAATTCAATGCCAGAACGAGTACAAGAGTGCTTGAAAACAAATGGAGGAACAACACGTTTCTAAATTATTTTTTTATTGCTTTTTGAAATATTTTTGAAACTGGTCTTTAAATTCTGCCCAATTTTTTTTTCCATTTATATTTTTTACTAGTCAGTTTTTTAATTTTTTAACATTATTTTGTAAAAAAATTATAAATTCTTTTATAATGAATATAAAATACAATAAAAATTCTTTCTAAAAATGTTTTTCTTTTTTTGATATCTTTTTTCAAAATAAATTATACTAAGGTTAAAAATAAATTTTGAAGAAAAAATGAGTGGTCTTTATTTTTTGGCCACCGCTGTATATATATATATATATATATATATATATATATATATATATATATATATATATATATATATATATATATATATATCATCATCATCATCATTTTTTGTAATATATATTTTTGTTAAAAATGTTCCGATTAAATCTTAGAATAGTTTTTTTTATAGTTTTCAATGATCTTGTCAATGTTTTTGGATGTTTGTCAGTCATATTTGCAAGATTTAGACCAATGGATGACCATTGGTAAACTTCCTCACAACAGTGATGAGGAGTTTATGATTTGCAGGTATAATAAAAATGTTATATTAAAAATATATATTTAAGCTTATTAAAGCATGTGTGCATTAGTTAAAGAATAAAAATAGACTTGATGCCATGGGATAATCAGTTAAGTATACTTTAAATGTTCAAATGGAAATGGAAAAAGTTTAAAATGAAATCGTCAAGTTATTAGTTACTCTATAAACATGATTTTTTTATGGGATCTGATATAACTGATTGATCTGATGTAACTGAATGATCTAATGTAACTGAATGGATTATATGAAAGAAAATCTTTTTTTTTCATTACTGTTTTTTTATTTGATTAAGATATTATAAAAGGATTAAGGTTTTGTTATAATTTATTATTATTTAGGTACTTATTACTGAAAATATTTTTGTATTGTTACTGGAATCTTTTTTTATATATTATTAAGTATGTTTTTTATTATTAGATATGTTGCTACATTTTTTAATTTTCATCCCAGTGCTTAATTGACAGACATGCTGACATATTATACATAGGATAATATATTTTGTGACCATATTTTGTAAACAGTATTTTGAAACAAAGGGAGTATTTTGTAACCAAACTTTGGCATGAGCTTGTTACACTAGTTAAAAAAGTTTTTCTTTAAGAGTTTACAGATTTTTTGACAGTTAAAATGGCATAATTTAAATTTTCTACTTAAAGATTGGTTCAAAAACTATTTTACAAAGTTCTCAAATGAATTTGAAAAGTTCAGTAAAGTTTTCTTTGTTATCACAACAAAAGTTTTTTTTTGCTGTCATAGCAAAAAGATTTTTTGTGTTAATATCAACTATCTTTCATCAACATTTAAATGAATAAAAACAATATTTTTTATTTTTCTGTTTAGTGGGCATAAAGAAAATTTTCAGCAATTGCACACTCAGTAATGTGCTGGCCCCAGAGGCTATGTGGGAATCATACATAGGCGCTTGTATATTAGTATTTTGCATAGTAAAATTCAAACCTAATATTGACCTCAAAATTAATAACAAAAAATGTTTATTATTAAGTCACATAAGTTGCTTTTAACAATTGTAATACATCAAAGAAATCATATCAAGGATTAAATTAAGATCACCACATCAAGAGTTAAATGAAGATAATGGCAGTCAGGAGAGAGTTTGCAATCCTGAAATTATTTAATTAAACAATTCACAATCGGTGATTTTTAGGTATTAATAAAGAATTGCTTGTAATTAGATTTTCATTAAAACTATTTCGTTATAAATTTATTGCTTGTTTTGTCAACTTTTATTTATTATAACCATAGAATTGAAATGTCATGTTTGTTATTTGACCTTTTTTTATGTGGTCAAAATATTTTCAAAATGATAAAAAATGATTTAAAAAATTTACTTATCTAAAAAATGTTTCTACTGAATCTAGCTCTGTAAAAACAAAAATATTTATCTATCAATAATTTATTTTAAAAAATGGTGCTGTTAGAATGCATAAAATCCCAAATAAGTTTCCTAAACAAAAGAAATTGCAATTAGACTAAACGAAGTTTTGGTTTTATATTTGGAAATTTGAATTGAATCCCGTAAAAAATTATTGAAAATTTTAAAGTAAGAAAATTATTTTGAACAGAAAAAGATAAGGAGTTTAATTATATATATATATATATATATATATATATATATATATATATATATATATATATATATATATATATATATATATATATATATATATATATGTATATATATATATATATATATATATATATATATATATATATATATATATATATATATATATATATATATATATATATATATATATAAAAATCAAAAAGCTACATAAAATTGAAGAAAGAAGATGGAAGGAAGAAGTAAGGTTTTTTTAATTAATTATGTTTTTAATTAGTAATTAGTTAGTAAAGAAAAATTAAACTCCAAAGTTGAATTAATTTTAGTTATATTACAAGTATATCTGCCTGTTTCAACTTAAAAATAAAAAAAATCTAATTAAACTCAAAATGAAGTTTTCACATATGACTATTTATATTTTACTTATATTAGGAAATGTTCTTACAATATTTTACAAAGCATCAATTAATGAAAGTTCAATTACTTTATCCATAGTTAATAGAATAAAAATAGACTTGATGCCATGGGATAATCAGTTAAGTATACTTTAAATGTTCAAATGGAAATGGAAAAAGTTTAAAATGAAATCGTCAAGTTATTAGTTACTCTATAAACATGATTTTTTTATGGGATCTGATATAACTGATTGATCTGATGTAACTGAATGATCTAATGTAACTGAATGGATTATATGAAAGAAAATCTTTTTTTTTCATTACTGTTTTTTTATTTGATTAAGATATTATAAAGGGATTAAGGTTTTGTTATAATTTATTATTATTTAGGTACTTATTACTGAAAATATTTTTATATTGTTACTGGAATCTTTTTTTATATATTATTAAGTATGTTTTTTATTATTAGATATGTTGCTACATTTTTTAATTTTCATCCCAGTGCTTAATTGACAGACATGCTGACATATTATACATAAGATAATATATTTTGTGACCATATTTTGTAAACAGTATTTTGAAACAAAGGGAGTATTTTGTAACCAAACTTTGGCATGAGCTTGTTACACTAGTTAAAAAAGTTTTTCTTTAAGAGTTTACAGATTTTTTGACAGTTAAAATGGCATAATTTAAATTTTCTACTTAAAGATTGGTTCAAAAACTATTTTACAAAGTTCTCAAATGAATTTGAAAAGTTCAGTAAAGTTTTCTTTGTTATCACAACAAAAGTTTTTTTTTGCTGTCATAGCAAAAAGATTTTTTGTGTTAATATCAACTATCTTTCATCAACATTTAAATGAATAAAAACAATATTTTTTATTTTTCTGTTTAGTGGGCATAAAGAAAATTTTCAGCAATTGCACACTCAGTAATGTGCTGGCCCCAGAGGCTATGTGGGAATCATACATAGGCGCTTGTATATTAGTATTTTGCATAGTAAAATTCAAACCTAATATTGACCTCAAAATTAATAACAAAAAATGTTTATTATTAAGTCACATAAGTTGCTTTTAACAATTGTAATACATCAAAGAAATCATATCAAGGATTAAATTAAGATCACCACATCAAGAGTTAAATGAAGATAATGGCAGTCAGGAGAGAGTTTGCAATCCTGAAATTATTTAATTAAACAATTCACAATCGGTGATTTTTAGGTATTAATAAAGAATTGCTTGTAATTAGATTTTCATTAAAACTATTTCGTTATAAATTTATTGCTTGTTTTGTCAACTTTTATTTATTATAACCATAGAATTGAAATGTCATGTTTGTTATTTGACCTTTTTTTATGTGGTCAAAATATTTTCAAAATGATAAAAAATGATTTAAAAAATTTACTTATCTAAAAAATGTTTCTACTGAATCTAGCTCTGTAAAAACAAAAATATTTATCTATCAATAATTTATTTTAAAAAATGGTGCTGTTAGAATGCATAAAATCCCAAATAAGTTTCCTAAACAAAAGAAATTGCAATTAGACTAAACGAAGTTTTGGTTTTATATTTGGAAATTTGAATTGAATCCCGTAAAAAATTATTGAAAATTTTAAAGTAAGAAAATTATTTTGAACAGAAAAAGATAAGGAGTTTAATTATATATATATATATATATATATATATATATATATATATATATATATATATATATATATATATATATATATATATATATATATATATATATATATATATATATATATATATATATATATATATATATGTATATATATATATATATATATATATATATATATATATATATATATATATATATATATATATATATATATATATATATATATATATATATATATATATATAAAAATCAAAAAGCTACATAAAATTGAAGAAAGAAGATGGAAGGAAGAAGTAAGGTTTTTTTAATTAATTATGTTTTTAATTAGTAATTAGTTAGTAAAGAAAAATTAAACTCCAAAGTTGAATTAATTTTAGTTATATTACAAGTATATCTGCCTGTTTCAACTTAAAAATAAAAAAAATCTAATTAAACTCAAAATGAAGTTTTCACATATGACTATTTATATTTTACTTATATTAGGAAATGTACTTACAATATTTTACAAAGCATCAATTAATGAAAGTTCAATTACTTTATCCATAGTTAAAGCAAAAAGCGTCTAAAGAACTGCAACAAACAATAAGAAGTCAGGAAGAAAAGTTTGAATTTAGCAAAGCAGATGAACTATTTAATGAAATTAAATTAATGAGTAATGAATTAAAATTAAATTAATGAGTAATGAATGTTTTACAACAAACAGCAATACTGAACTCAATCTAATGTGTCGACAGAATGAAAATCAGGAACGGATACAAGGACATAGGAATTATAAAAGTTTTTCCAACATAGCATTAGCAAGCATACGGTACAGTATAGGCTCTCGGGAAACAGCTGCAATTGCAATGGCAGCTTGGATGGATGCAGGAATAGTTAAAGAAGTTATACCAAGTTGGTTATTGACCACAACAAAGTCAAGAGAGCTTAAGAAAAAATTATGCAGTCTCTTTCTAGAGAGTTTGATACTCAATGCAGGTCTATCATTAATGATTGTGTTTTTTTTGACGGCAGAATTGATAATACAAAAGTTCAATTAGTAGTCGAAGGTTCGTCTAAATGTTATCCTGCTACAAAGAAATATTATACAGTATGTCAAGAGCCCGGTGGTAGGTATCTTTTCCATTTCACACCTAAAAAAGTTCAAAAACATATGAAACACGCTGAAGTAATTGCTCATAATATATACAAATTTTTGAAAAGTAATTGGTGCGGATAAAAGCTTAACAGCGATCAGTTGTGATTCTACTAGTGTTAACACAGGGTGGTCAGGTGGAGTAATACATTGGCTGGAAGTAAAGTTAGGAAGAAAGCTAAACTGACTGGTTTGATGAACTTCCTCTGCGTCATCCAATACCAACTCTAGATGGAGAGACTCTGAGCAGCATCAAATGGTGAGGCAGCATTGGAAAATTATTTAATGACGCAACTGCTCTGGAAATTAATCCATCCTTTGAAAAAATTGATGTCGGAAATCCGCCTATTACTCTAAAGGATGAAGTAATCAAAAATTTATCCTCCAATCAGTTTTATAGGTATTAATTGGGCCAGTTAATCATTCCAGATGGTTGACAACAGCCAACAGACTTTCCAGAGTTTGGGTCTCAAAACCTGAGTTGGAAGGCGAAAATTTAAAAAACCTTAAAATAATAATTGAGTTCATTGTTGAAGTTTACATGCCGATGTGGTTTAAAGTTAAAGTTGAGCACAGGTTTACTGAAGGACTGAGACATATTCTTTACCAACTTAGCCTTCTGATACATCAATCAAGTCAAGTAGTAGAAATTGTTATGTCAACAGGTCAGTGTGGTAAGCTTTCTCTGAGTACATCATACAGACCATGCTCTGCTCAGAGAATGTAGAGGAAAGAAAGAACAGTATAGTTAGAGTTAATTGTGAAAATCAGAGGTCCTGGTGATGAAAAACTTCAAACTTCTGATAAAAATGACAGAGCTAGAATAACTCCAGAAATAAAACCTGATGCAGCAATGCTTATACAGCTAATCGACTGGAATATATCCTATGAATGAGCCTATTCTTACTTGTGATCTGACAACAGAAGAAGTAAAACAGATAATATTTTAGCCTATGATTGTTCCAAATTGGCCTTGTCATGGACAGTCAATTAAAGAACTAGTTAAACAGGTAACAGAAGCAGCAAGCAAAGTTTATTCTCAAGAAAAAAGATATAGTTTTATAAGAGGGCAGGACTTATCGAGAGAATTGATGTCTTCTGATAGGTCAAAGAAAGATTTGATTTTAATGAAAGAAAAAAAAAGAAATGTAAATTTTATTTTGTTAAAAAAAAATTACTATAAAAAAAATCTATTTTTATGAAATAAAAAACTAAATGATAGAAAAATGATTATAAACAGAAACTATTATAAACATTTTAATAATAATAATTTTAAATATTTAACAAACAAAAAAAATTTAAGCCGACAAAAATATACAACCACAAGCGAAAATTTGCTTTTCTAGTAAGAAATTTTCTGCGAATTTAAGTGAATACTAAAAATGAACTCCCGGTAGCTAAATCATTTCGGATATTTAAATCTAAGCTTTTTTTAGTAAAATTATATATAAATACAAGTTTTTAGAATGCAGGGTTTTTAATCTGGAAAAAAAAATTATGACACACCCTTATATATATATATATATATATATATATATATATATAATATATATATATATATATACACATATATATATGCAGGCTTGGTCGGGAAGCGGATGCGATCGCACTCGATAACTGTCCACGGAAATAATATTTAGTTGCGAAAAACCGGCCAGATTTTAGTTTATATATGTTTCCTTGTTTGTTCGCAAAATAATTAGTTCATTTTATTGTAAATTTTAAAATATTTTGTTTTATGGTCTTACATGGAAACATGCATTAACTTGAATGTTCTCAAACATCTTAGTGCGGAATAATAAAAAAAGAATATTCGCGAACACAAAAAACCCGCCAAACCTATGATCAACTAATTCTATTGGTTTACAAAATGCTAACCGAAATTTCTAGAATATTCAAAAAATACTAACTAAATGTCCTGAGTATTCTGTTGAAATATTTTTAAAATATTATTTTTTGAATTTTGTTGCGTTTTTGTTGAGATTTCTAGCATAAATTATTTTAAGAGTATACTATCAAATGAACTATTATTTTGATTCTTGGAGCCACATCTACAAAGCTATAAATGTTTTAAACTAACATTATTTGGTTACAATAATAAATGTTTTAAATTTATATTTTTTAACTTGTCAACGTTTTGTAAATATATTATAGATTTTATTAGTATATTCTTATTTTTTATATATAAGGGATGTATTTTTTATGTATTTAATGTATTTTTATGTATGTAATGTTTTTTTATTTATGTAATTTTATGTAAGTGTATTTTATTCAAATGTAATCATTTAACGCAATTTGTGCTATTGATTTTGTAAACAAAAATACTTTCAATAATAACTGCGCTTTCAATGAAATTATTAATAATCATCAAAATTAATACAGAAAATTTATACAGAAAACTACTAATCCATTTTCCTCAGTGTACTCGATAACTGATTCTTATATATATATATATATATATATATATATATATATATATATATATATATATATATATATGCAGCGTGGAAAATAACAGGCGGTCAACGGTCAATGACCACCCGAAATGACTGAAATTGCTGTTTTGACCTCCCAAAAAGAATTCTAGCCGGTCAAGGTTGACCAGTTGAAAAATCAGAGTTAGTCAGAAAAGTCAGAAAAATCTTTTGTTAAACCCAATTTTAAATTTTTTAGATTTCATAACACTGTAAAACTTTGATAAAGCATCTAAAACAATTTTATTGCTTATATGCTACTTTTTAAAGTAGAAATAATTAATAAAATTGCTTTCGTTGGAACGAAGCAAATTAAAACTCGCATCGCTGCAACATGAAATTCGTCATTGTTTATTAATACTCGCTAATGCTTCGACGAGTATTATATATGGCGTAAATTATATATATTATTTTTTTTGCTTCAGTTATTGAGATCAATTTTATTGAGTGTTTTTTCCTTAACTGATTTAAGTTCTTATTTTATTATTATTTTATTAATAATATAATATACAATAATTGATGATTTTAGCAAAGCACTAAATTTATTTTTGCTCTTTCTATATCTTTTTATTTATTTTGCTCATAATTTTTTGTTGCAAAATGCATTTAACAAATGACTTTTTTTTTCTTCTTATTTTATTTACATGTCATGAAGAATAATTACTGAAATAAAAATTTTAACAAAGAAAAAAAAAAATTTGACCTCCCAAAAAAAAAATTTGACTGTCAGTTCAAATTTTTTTGATCGGCTTATGTATTAGCCGATCAATTTGACCGCTCGCCTTTGATTTCTTATTTTCCACGCTGATATATATATATATATATATATATATATATATATATATATATATATATATATATATATACATACATATATATATATATATATATATATATATATACATATATATACATTATGGTTATATATTTTTTCTCAATTTTGATTATATATTTTTGCTTTTATTTATTTATAGTCTGCAAGCGTCCAAAATAGTCGAAAAAGATGAAGAAAATTATTGGAGGGCAACTTACCAAATAAAAGGTTATTTTCCTTTACATTTTCTATTTTGCTTTGTACTGCTGTTTAGGAAATAAATGTATTTTACTATTTGTTTAACAGAAACAAAGTCTACTAATGGAAATGTGAAATCTCTTGTACCAAAATTTATAGAAGGAATTCAACAACAGGTAAAAAAATACATTTAAAATATGTAAAAAATAATAGTTTACAATTATTTATAATAATAATAGTTATAAATATTATTGTTTTCATTTGGTTGTGTTTGACTTTAATGTACTGTTCTATTAAATTTTTATAACAAAATATCTTAAGTCTTAAATAACTAAAGATCATACATTATTGCTTCATAATTTGTACTAAAAATTAAATGCAATAGTAGAAATTATGTATAATTTTTATTATTAATAATAATTTTATTATATATTATAAAACAGTATCAACCATTATCAACTTATCAATAAATTTAATGAAGTTAACTAATCTATTTTGCAGATTTTAGTTACTTGAAAACATTCAGACAGGTTTTCTATATACAAATATTTAATTACTAGCTGTCATGACCCATATGATACGGGTCATGACAGCAACCCGTACGATACGGGTTGTGGTAAGTCTAATCCACACCCAATCATTTCTAAACTTGTTCCTGGTTTAGTCTATATACTTTAACTTATTTTGTAAACGACAAAAAATAAATTAATTCAAAGTTCTGTTAGTTGGTAAAATGCGAATTTTTTTGCAAACCATAATTGTTAAATTATAAATAAAACTTATGCTATGATATTATTTTGACTCTCTCATAAGGATTTGTTTAAAAAGCAAATTTAGACGTTGAAAAATGGGCAAGCCAAAGAGGCCTAGTTATTTCAATTAAGGTAGCTTTATCTGCTTGATATTTTTTATAAAAGCCTTTCTGTAAAAAAACACTTAACTTACATTCATACAATTAGGCTGTTTTTACTGCGAAATCAGGCAAATAAATTTTTAAACCTATTGTTTGTACAATCGAGACTTAATGCAAATAAAAACGATCCTAATAGTACACAGGGTGATAAAAGTATAAATGGTTTCCATTTACATATAAAAAGTTAACAGAAATATAAAAAAACAAAGCAAAAATAGCCAAAATTCAAAACTCCAAAATTCTAAAGATAAAAAATATAAAAACTTATTTGAGAAACAAACTAAAAAGATTTCTTGAGATAAAATTAAAAAAAAAAAATTTTGAAAAAACTACAAAAAAAATTTATATTCAAAAATACTTTTAATTACAATAAATACAATTTAATTTGAAACATTCTTTCATTGTTACATATCTTTTAGTATATGGTATGGAGATTATCAAGCTTCGTTTTAGCTTTTTGAAAACAATCAACATTCAGAACATAACTTAAATTCTACTATGTAGGAACATTCAAAATCAGTCATAGGAGGAGGAATTTGACCTAAAAATGGAACATAATTATTATTGAATACACTTAATACACATTAATTTGTTATGTACTTTATTTATTTGAAAACTCAAAAATGTGACTAAACAGATAACAAATAAGAAACTTACTTAAATTGGTTGTTTATCTTTTGTGAAAGTTTTAAGATTTACTGTTGCACGTTTGGATTAACAACTCTTTTTAAAAAAGCAAGGCTAAAAATAAATGATCAAAATAAAAAAATCCAACCCAATACATATTCTACCCAATAATCATTTTAAAGTAAAGACCCCGACGTGAAAGTAAACAAATCATCTAATCTATCAACACAAAACAACACATCGAAAGTGTAAACAAAAGGATTTGAACCCACGCAAAGTCCTTTAACCGCTTTTGACATGTTTTAAAGGAATAAAAAATTATTTGTATTGTATTAATGTAATTAATGAATTAACTGGAAATCAATTTATTAATATATAATAACAATAAAAAAATATAAAAAAAAGTATATTTACAAAAAAAATTTGACTAAATTTGCATTATCAATAAAGGATTGGTAGGTTAACCAATATTTGGCTAAATTGGTAGAATACTATAACATAAATACTAATTATAGATGCAGCATTTTTTTATCAACTACTCACTCTCCTCCTTAACATACATACATATATATATAAAGAGGTGGGGGGGTGCTTTAGCCCTAAATTTGACCCACACCTTGTGAGATGTGGGCCCTCTATTCGTTCTGCAAAATGCTTAAAAAACATTGCAAGATGTCTAAAATGAAACAAAATTAAATAATGACATGAAAAAAGTAAAAAAGGCAAAATAGCACTGCAAACCAATTAACCTGCTACTGATTAAACAATCAAAACCTGTAAGAAAAAATACTTTATGTGTAACAGAAAAAATTTCTTACAACTAAAAATACAAAAAAATAATGTTATTCAACCAGAAATTAAAATTACTCTTACCTTGTTTGCAAAAAAAAAATTTCTATTTAAACTATTAGCTAATGATCAACAAAGTAAACTTAAAATAATTCAAGCTTACTAAGTTAAAACCATATTTTAACAGTAGACAAAGTAAACAAATAGTCTGTAGAGCACTAAAGTAGAACTAAAGAAATAAAATAACAACTAAATTTAAAATGTTTTTAATACATAATTCTTGCAGTTAAAAACATAAAAAAATAACTCTATCTTCACAAGATAATGAAGGTAAAATAGTTAAATCAAACTAAAAGTAAAAAAAAAAGAAATTATTAAAACGTAAATTTTTTCTTAAGTATGATCCTTTTAATTAAAAACAATAATATTTTTTTAAACAGATAAGGACACATTGATATAGAACAATTCTTTCATATTAAGTTTATTACGTTTTTGAAAGGTCATTAAAGTTCTTTCATATTGCAAGTACTTAATAAACTTATGAATATCTGCAATAACAGGTGATTATGAAAATTAATTATTCAAAAAATTTTATTTAAAAGATATTATTTTGACATGGAGAATCATAAACACTGTCACAGCAGCTCTTGAATCATTCTAAAATTTTGCATGTTTTGTTGACTTAAATTTTGATGGTGTTTAGTGTAAAAACAAAATATACAACTTACAACAAATTTTTTTGTAAACGTAACTCAATTTTTAACTAAATTAATATTAAAAGAAAAAAAAGTTATGTTTTTGAAAGAGTATATTTATTTACAAACAAAACTTAAAAAATAGATCAATTAAAATATAAATGTAAAACTAAATACATTCACATACCTCTTTTATTTGTAGATGTAGTTATGTATTTTCCATTGCCCACTATAACTTCAAACTGCACTCAAACTGCACTTTTGATAAGGGTAATTTCTTCCCTTTAATAGAGGGAAAATCTTATTGCCTATTCTAGATATAGAAGACTTTATTTAGAATTTGACTATTGTACCCCCCTTCACTTTGAAACCCATGTTGTTGGACAGAAAAATACAAACTGTTATTTCACAAAAACTTAGAAAATCAAACACATTTAATTACATTTTCATTACATTAAAATAAATACAAACTTTAAAACTTAAGATAAAGATATATTCAAATTTAAAACTTACAATATATGATAAGCTATGAGACTATAATTAAAATAACTATCACATAAATATTGTTATTTAATATTATAATAATTAGGAACTAAAAAAGTAAATTTGAAAGATTTTTTAAAACGAAATTCAACTTAACAAAATCTAACATGAATATCACCACCAGACAATAACACTGTACTAAATAATTAGATTCGTGTAAAACATGTTTGAGTATCTAATAAAAAAACGCAATAAAAAATAAAAAACAACTTACTTATATCTAAAATAAGCTCATCTTCAGCTTCTATAAAATTAACTGCTTGTTGAGAAACAATTTCTACACATCACCCACAAAAACAGAACATGTTTCATTAACTAAATTATTAAAAAGTCAAACTTTAGTAACTATAAAAACAGATTGAAAATTACAAAATACAATTATAAATAAAATTTATAAATAAAAGTATATTCAATAATTATAGTTTTATAATAATGATTAAAGAGATATTTAAAGATGTTTAGAGATTCATGAAAGTTAAAAAAGCAATATAAATACTTATCGTGTGCACATCTACAGTGCCTCGTGCATCTCATGTTATTTAAGTCATCAAAGTAATTGATGCGCTTTTGGTTAAGAATGTTTAACAGGGGCGTTGATAATAACATAATTTAGTTGTAAATAAACTTAAAAAGTTTAACTAAAATAACATAAGTATCTCAATAATGACACATACGCAAAAAAAATAAAAAAGAAAGTCGCCAATGGTGGGACTTGAACCACAGCTATCTTGTTCTGAAGCCCAGCGCGCTAACCACTCGATAACGCTAACACGTTGGGGGTGGAAGATATATAAAAATTGTTTTTAACGGATATAAATACAAAAAGATCAGAAATTAAGAAGAGGTTGACGAAATGCAGTTCTTAAGTGAAAATCAAACTGAAAAACTTGATATATGTTTAAGTATGTTTTAACATTACATAACATAAAGTTTAGGTACGTACGATTTGAGTTTCACGTTTGCTCACGTTTTCTTATAAAGCAAAGGTAAGACTCTTTCTCATCACTACTCTGGATGCAATGGTTGCCAAGAGTATTGTGTCAAACAGGCTCGAAAGCGCACTACTACTACTATTAAGTTCAGTATTATTAAAGAGATTATCTTTTTTAGATTTTAGTTACTGGAAAGTCGCTTGGATTGCTAGCCGAATTTGGAGATGTAAGTTTTTTATTTACTTATTTATTTTTTATTAGTTCATCTCCTAAAGGTTACAATGATGTATTATTTTAAGCAAGATATAAACCAAATGAATTTATTAAAGTTAATTTAGATTTAGTTTAAAATAGTAAAAAAACCTTAAATAATTTTCTACTAACATTTAGCAGTAGAAGATATCAATAACATTAATCTTGATATTTATTTATTATGCAACTTATTTTAACTTTTTGTTTTTTTCAACTCTTGAATTACTGTGATTCTGAAATATTTTCAGTTAAATAATTTTTTTTACAAATTATCTCAAAAAAATGATAACCATAATTTAATTAAATAACTTAAATTTTAGTTTGTTACAAAAATTTGTGTTTAAAATTGTCAGAAACACATTTACAGTTTGTTTGTTTTTTTGTCTCTATATACTACTTATTTACTACATATTTGGTTATTGCAACAAGTGCAATAACCAAATAAAACCTTGGAAAGATGGGGAAAAGATTTTCTATTTTGATTCTAAATCTTTTCTATCAATATAGAAAAGAAAGAGTTATATTGTTTTGTACAATGTCTATAATGCATCTAGATCATTTTTTCAAACTAATAAAAAATATATATTTGATTTGTATGTTAAGTTTTCATCATTAGTAGTAGAGACATCTTTGTAATATAAATTTGATTTGTATGTTAAGTTTTCATCATTGGTAGTGGAGACATCATTGCATGAAGAGTTTAGGATAAATCTAATAAAAGAACTACAACAAGCCAATGATAGGTTTTTAAAGGGTAATATTATTTTTTATAAACATTTTGATTGCTTATGAGTAAAGTTATTAATTTTTGTATTTATTGGACACTAAATAATAAAATTCAAACAGCAAATATCATGATATTAGTCAAACAATAAGCTTCAGTAAGTACTGTAGTAATTATATTAATTACTTTTGTGAAAAAATCTCCATGAAGTTGTAAAATAATCTAATGTTTTGTTAAAAAAAGTTTAGAAAAAATTAATTGCAACTTTTCAAATCTAATTTGTTAAATAAATTTTGTTAAATAAATACGGAAAAGATTTATTAAAATAATAAAATGTTTGAGTTCAAGTGCTTTGTTTAACAAGAAAAAAAAATTTGAACCTTCATAAAAAAACACAATGAAGTTGTGATTTTGTTGGCAAAATTTTGCTTCAATTAAAGAGAATTTAAAACTTTTATTGAAATGACTTTAGACTTTTAACATATAAGTCAAAAGCAATTACTTTTGCTTTACTGAATTTATCTAATCTGTGATAAAACCTTACTGTTATCAAGGTTGACAAATGGTAACAAATCAATAGAACATAAAAGTTAAAATTTGTATTGATTGATTGAAAGTTATTATGTTTTTAAGTTTGTTACTTTCAAGGAGTCATTAATTAATAAAAAAATAAGTTTATGTTATCTGTTGTTCCTATAATATAAAAATAAGTTTTTATAAAATAAAAAACAGCATTAAATGCCATCGAAGTATTATAAGACAATAAAGAATTTTTGTAATCTGTTGTTCCTATTATATAAACTCTACTTTTATAAAAAACATACATTTCCAGCATGCAAGAAAACAGTTTTCAGTTAAACACTTGTTAAATAGTTCAAAAGGTTTTGTTGAAGAGTTAATGTATATAACAGTAATAAAGCAGTAAAAAAACACTGATTTTTTGTTCCAAAGGGTAGCAACTGATCATGGAAATCATAGAAATTTCATAGAATTTCAAATAGTTATGGAAAAAGTAATGAAGTATTTCAATATGATTTTTTTTTTCACTTCTGATATTTTAAAGATTTTTGCAAAGATAAGTTCTGGTCTATGATCTTTTTAAAAAAGATATTGCTGTGTATGTTATAAATTATCATTTTATTGCAATCAGTCAGATTTTCCCTTTCAATAGTATTATTCAAAATAAAGTATCAATTAAATAATTAATCAAAATATATTTATAAATTTTGATTGAGTTTGTATCGAACAATGAATTATTGTCAGGTCATGTAACCCTGCTACTGGTAATATTTAATCCAAAACAACCTGCTTCAGTTAAGAAGTTAAACATAGGGCACTTAAGATAACTCTGATACAAACCCCCAATTGAGTTCTTGCTAAAGAACTCATAAACTATGGATGATGATCTTTTTAGTGGTCACAATAAAAATACCGTCACAATAAAAATGTCTGGATATACTAACATTATCCAAGTTGATATCTGCCCAAACAGCTGATTCTGCCATTGGTTTACAAAATCTTAAGGTGGTCCAGTAACATGGAAAACCAAGAAAAATCACGGAAATTCTGAACTATAATAAAAAGTTAAATAAAAGTCACAGAATATATTAAATTTTCAAAAGTCATGGAAATGTCAGAGAATTTTGATGGATTCAATAACAAAATATTTGATAGTTTCAAATTTATTTATTTTTTTACTTCATATTTTTTATTTAAAAATGTTTATTAATTTAAAGTAAACAGTTTTCAAGAAAACTTCTATTATTTGGGTAAGTTGTGTGGGTTTTATTTGTTGCCTTTTTATTGCTCAATTGTTTATTGTTACCCTAAATGAAGAAATTGAACATTTCAGCATTCAAGTGGAAAAATCTAATTCTGTGAATTCGTTGGCTATTAGGCAAAAAGTAAAAGAAAAGCAAGTTTTTATTTAACAGCTATAATAATAATGCTATTGTAATATTAGAGACAGAGTTAAAAGTTATTTTAGTTAATATAAGTTTTAACCATTTCATATTGTGAAAGAAAGTTTCTATTTTTAGTACTAAATAATAAGTAGTTTTGTATCACTTTTATTACAATAAAGTAGTTTATCATCGACCATTAAAACAAAAAGTTAATATCAATAGTTTTTGCACAAAATAAATATAGTTAATAGTTATTTTATATTTAGAAATCTGAAATGTTTAGAGTAAAGTTTTGTTAATTATGATATGTTATGTGCATATAGCTGTTATATACTTTTTCATAAATTGATCTTATAAAAAGATTATGTTTTTTATTTACTTTTGTAAAGTTTTCAACTTTTTTTGTAAAAAAATTTTTTTTTTTTCTTTCAAAATATTGAAGAATAATTCTTTTATTAACCTGCACAATAGTATTTCTTATTTGGAGATAAAAACTTATGCTTATTATGTGCTTTTTTCATATCTACTTGGTTTCTAACAAAATCTTGTGTTATTTTTAAAAATACGATTTTTATATTTTCATCAGTTATAATGCGCACATCTGAGTTTTTTCAGACATGATTTTAAGTTTTCCTAGCATTTATTTTTTGCTCTGCATGCTTCTTAATGACTAAGTGGCAATGGCTAAACACATAGCAAGCATTGGATGTTAAAAGTTATGGAAAAGTCATGGAATTTCATTTTGAAATTTAGGTTATGGCTTGGGGTTTATTAATAGTAATAAGGCAATTGCTTGGGCTATTAGACAGTGTACTGAGTGCTATCTATGCTTCAAGTCAAGTTCTTTAACAAATTTAAAAATAAATAAAGTAACAAAAACTATAAAACACAAAAAACCATTGTCATCACCATGTTCTCTAAATCTATCATTCACTAACATTCGTGGTCTTTGAAGTAACTTTTCTTCTGTTGAGTCTTATCTCTTGCAAAGTTCATCAGACCTACTTGCTCTTTGTGAGACTAATTTGAGTTCAGCTGTCTCATCTTGTGATCTTAGTATTAATGGTTATCTTCCTTTTCTTCATAAAGACTCCAATAGTCACATGCTTGGCCCGGGCATTTACATTTGTAAGAATTCACCTATTTTTTAGGAAATTTGGTTTGAATCCACAGATTACTCTTTTATGTGTTTTTGTTTAGCACCACTTCACTCATTGTCTTTCTCTTTGCTCTATATCAATCTCCTTCGTCTCAAAACTGCACTCTTCTTGATGTTATTTCTGATCATATTGACCAACCCCCCTTTCTTTATCCATCAGTAAATATTGTTGTTGTTGATGACTTAAATGCTCATCACTCTGAATGGCTTCTCATCTATAAATTCAGCACTATAAATTCAAGATGGCTCTAGTGTCAGTTACTCTGAAGGCATTAAAGCCTACAACTTTTGTCTTTCTCAATCCTCAACTCAAATAGTCAACTTTCCAACTTGCTTTCCAGACAACCCAATCATTTACCTTCTCTACTCAACTTATATCTTGTTTCTGATCCTAGTCAGTGCTCAGTTTCTCCACATTCACCCTTAGTTTCCCTCTGATCACAATTTGATCTCTCTAAAACTATCATCTCATTCATCATCTGAATCCCCCTATCATCGTACCTTATACAATTACCTTTAAGCTGACTGGGACTCTTTTTAGAATTTTCTTTGTGATGACCCTCGGGTCATCTTTCATCTTCCTGTTGACAAATGTGCTTCTTACATAACTTTGTGGATTCAGGCTGACGTGGAATCTTTTATTCCCTCTCTCTTCCCTTATTCTTCTCCATGGTTTTTCATATTTTTTGTTACTTCCACATCTATCAGCAAAATAATCCTCCAGAAAACAGATGTCTGTTTATTACTGCTAGAAACCATTGTAAAAAGGTTTTGTCTAACACTAAAGCCCGCTATTTTTAGGTCATGAAATCTCGTAAATTAGGCTCTCGTGACTTCTGGAGAATCTTTAATAATATCAATAATAAGGGCAAATCTGTAATTCTACCTCTCTTGTATGGTTCAGTCTTTGTTACCTCGCCTAAAGACAAAGCTGAATTGTTTGCTAAGAACTTTTCATTAATATCCTCTCTTGATTCCACTAGTTGCGTTTTACCTGATATAGCCGTTAAACCAGTTGATCCATTGATTGACAGTCGTATCACTCCTGCTTCTGTATCTAAAGTGATTTCCCGCTTAGACTCTTCTACAGCTTGCGGCCCGGACAACATACCTGTTATAGTCTTGCAGAAATGTTCTCCAGGGCTGTCATCTATACTTTCAAAACTATTTAACAAATGCTTATCAGAGTCTTGTTTTTCAGCCTGCTGGAAATCAGCATTTTTTATCCCTATTTTCAAAAATTCTGGAGAGCGATTTGATTCGTCTAACTACCGTCATATTAGTCTTTTTCCTATCATAAGCAAGGTTTTTGATGTTTTAATTAACAAATGCTTAATCTCTCATCTTGAATCTAATAACTTACTTTCTGATCATCAATATGGATTTCAATCTTCTTGTTGTACAGCTGATTTGCTAATAGTAGTAACCTATAGGTTTTATCGCGCATTAGATAAAGGTGGAGAGGTTAAGGCCATTGCTCTTGACATTTTTAAAGCTTTTAATAAAGTTTGGCATGCTGGTCTTCTTCATAAGCTTTCTTAAAGTGTGTATCTGGAAACGTCTTAAAGATTATTGAATCTTTCTTTTCCAATTGTAGTATAAATGTTGTCCTTGATGGACAGCACTCTTCTTCTTATTCGGTAACCTCAGGAGTTCCTCAAGGTTCAATCCTTGGCCCTGTGCTCTTTTTCATTTACATTAACAATCTTCCAGATATTCTCACATCTAAGGTGACATTGTTTGCTGGTGATACAACCATTTATTCTTGTCATGATAAGAAGCCAACACTTTCTGATTGCTTGGAAGGGGCATTTGAGCTTGAAAAGGATCTCACTTCTGCTACAGCATTGAGCTCACAGTGGCTGGTGAACTTTAATTCAGATAAAACTCAATTTTTTTCAGCCATTCGTTATCGAAATAATTCAGATTTTCCTATATTTATGAACAGTAATGTACTCGATGAGTCATCTACCCTTTATCTTCTTGGATTAACTCTTACTTCCAATCTATCTTGGAAACCATATATCAAATCTATTGAAAAATTAGCATCTGCTAAGGTTGCATCTCTTTATCGAGCTCAACCCTTTCTTACTCTGGATTCTATTCTTTATCTCTATAAAACTCATTTAATTAAGTCTTATCCTTTTACTGTGACTCTTCCTAAGTGCTCCAAAAACTCTTATTTGTCTAGTTTTTTTCCTCAAATATCAGTTCTCTGGAATTCGCTTCCTTCATCTTGCTTTCCTGATTCATATAATTTGCAATTTTTTATGTTGTCTGTCAATTGTTATCTTGCTCTACAATCTTTATCTTTTCTTTCCCAGTAACTTTCAATTCTAATAAGTGGTTGCTTGCAGCCTTGTTGGAAGCGAAGATGTTTTAAAAAAAAAAAGACGTATATATATATATATATATATATATATATATATATATATATATATATATATATATATATATATATAACTTGAGTTTAATAAAAAGTTTATTTTTTATTAATAAGTTTAATAAAAAGTATATTTTAATTAATTCAACAATTTTGTATAACAGGTAAATGCTTTTGAAATAAAAAATTTTGTATGACTATATTAAAGAAACTTAATTTTTACAGGTGATGATGGGCAGGTGACTGGTGACATAACTGATGGTTCTTCAATAGGCTTTGAAGATCCTTTGGTTGATCATCTGGTACAACAAAATTTTAATCTTATGTTTGGACATGCAAAACAGAGATGTATTACAAAAAAATATATAAAAAATAATCAGAGGTGAAATTTATTTCACATTAATTGTAAAAAAAATTAAATAACCTTCACAAGATTGTGATTATATAAGTAATAATCACTAGTGATCACTATATAGATTAATAGTTAAATAATTTATAGAATTTTATGAAGATGATTATCTAATTGTGTTTTATGAAGATAATCATCTAATTATGGTAATTACTTTTTGATTATGATTGCTATAGGAATGAAGGAGAATCCTGGAGTGAGCTTCTGAGTATGTGTGACTTTTAATTGTTTCATGTTTTATTTTTTTACTTTTTATTACTTCATGTTTTATTTTTACCTTTTATTATTTCTTGTTTTGTTTTAAGTTTTTATAATTTTATGTTTGATAAATACTTTTTATAATTTCATGTTTGATATATTCTTTTTATTTTTTTGTGTTTAATTTTTACTTTTTATTATTTTGTGTTTTATTAAAACTTTAACTATAATAATTGAATAAGAAATATTTAGAAAATGGTGCATGTCGTCCTCCAATAAAGTTGCTTATTCAAAAAAGTCTGTTTCCAGGAATATTAAAACGATATGATAGGGTAATATTTTATTCTAATTTCTTTCAGCTTCCTTTTTTTCTTACTTTTAATTTTTTATTTTGTTTTTTTTTTTATATTTGTTTACATCATTTCAATTTGTGTGTGTAAATTTTAAATTCGTAACTATGGAGTATTTAAAATATTATAAAAATTTATGAAGTTGATAGTGCAATGATATGCTCTATTATCTTGGATATTTGACAATAATACTTTCAGGTCTGTAAACTTTTATTGGATCTTTTTAAAGAGGAATTTTGTTTGCATCAACACTTTCAAGTTATGAAGGTTTGAGAGTTTTTGTTTTTTAAAAGTTGTTTTCTTTTTCTGATGAAAACTTTTATTTATTTCAATATTAAGAAGATATAAAGGATCTTCTTAATATCCATAAAATTTCCTTTGTTATATCAAAAATATCTTTATTTTCAAAACATTAAGTTGTATAAAAATATTGGGATTATTTTTATATAATTCAATATTTTGTGAATAAAAAGACTGAAAAACAAAGTAATGTTTTTTTAAAATCAGGTTGAAAGTTTTCATTAATATGGTATCATTCAATCTCTTAAAACTTAGCAAAGATTTATTTAACAGAACATTTTTATTATAGAATTTTTTTCTCATGGAAGATGGAGGTACAATGCATGAGTTTTGCATTGAGTTATTCCAGAAGGTGAGGAGTAAAAATATATTATTAGTTTTAGATTTATTTTTTCCATGTAAATACCTAAAGTTTTTTATAATAAATACTTTTTATCAGGCAAAGGAGAAAACCCACTGGCAGGATAAGCCTTTTTTAAATATAGTGTTGCAAGATGCACTTCAAAGAAGACATTTGCACCTCATAGGAAGGTTTGTAAAAAAAAACATATATATATCAGGCTGTTACAGAAAGCATGTGCAGTCGCACACTTTGTTTGGGCACGCATAAAATAATATTTTTAGGCAACATGACCACAGCTGTTTGCATGTTCTGACAATTTAAGTGTTTTTAAAATGTGCTGAAGAACTAAGCTGAACTAAATTAAAGAGAAATTTGAAAAAAAAAAATTTTATCTAAAAATTTTAAAGAAAAATGTTTTATCAAAATAGCAAATATAAATATAAAAATAAACTTTAAAAAAACTAAAAAAAAAAATCATTTAAAAGCTTTAAAAAAATCATTAGAAATGTTAAAGTTTCAAAGTTAGGCATTTTACCTCCTACTTTTTTACAAACTATATGCATCTTCTTTTTTGCCATTGAGTTTCAATTCAAATCATGAAAAACATAGGTATTCTTAATATTATATAGATAATATTTAATACTATGTAGATAATACTTAATATTGTATTGATAATACTTAATATTATGTAGATAATACTTAATTTTATATAAATAATACTTAATATTATATAGATAATACATAATATTATATAGATAATACTTAAAATTATATAGATAATACTTATTAGGCATTAATAATACATGCACAGATAATAAGCATAAAACATCTCAATTTTTTCTCTGAATTTTTTATTTTTTTAATTTTAAAATTTTTTATTTAATTAATAAGTTATTCCTTAAATTTTTATTTACATGTACATTGTTTATGATATATATATAATAGATAGTCATTAAGATAATTACTTCAGAATTATATTACTGATCAGTATGTTGATACAAAAAAAATGTTGAAATAGAAACAAGTAATACATTTTTATTTGACCTAAATATTCAGCTAAGAAGAGAAAAGAGAGTGGTAGAAGGGGGTACATTTTTTGAAGATAGAGGGCTTAATTTTGTCAATCAGAAGTGAAATTTTTTTTTTTTTTAATTATTTTAAAAAAAAAATTTTCACTTCTAATTGACAAAATTAAGCAATAACCTGCCTAAGGACAAATAAATTTTTCAGAGTTCACTTGTCTAGTCTAAGACCTTTTTAAAAAAAAATATTGTTGTGTACGTTACAGATTATCATTTTATTGCAATCAATTAGATCAGATTGCCCTTTTTAGAAGGTTAAATTCAAAAGTTTAAATTTTAGCATTCAAAATAAAATATCAGTTAAATAAATAGACAAAATACTTTTAAAATTTTTGTTTAATAAATCAATTAATTTTGATTAGAGTGATTTTTTTAAATCTTGTTAATATGCACATGTACAATATGTATACAAAAATTTTAATGTTATTATAGTATTAATTTTTATTTCTAATAATCAAAATTGATATACTGTATATTTGTTATTTATTTAAAGTTTTATATTTAATATTCATAGCCTATTATTATTTTAAAGTCTATCTGTAGAGTTGCAACCTCATTTTATAGCAGCTTCAAATTCCGATATTTTTGATGGTATGTCTTTGCATTATAAGGTATTATGCTTTGTAAAATATTTTAATTTATGTATTATAAATATGCTGGTTAAATCTATTGAATATAATAAATAGAAAAAATATACATAAAGTATGATTAAATATATAGAATTTAAATCCTGATATGCCAGTTTAAGATCTTCCTTTTTTTTTTTTTTTTTTTTTTTTTTGAAAGATGTCGATTTAAAATTTTTTTTGCCTGCTTTTAAGAAAATGATGAAGAATTCAGCATATAAAGAAGAGTTTGTTTTTTTTTGCAATAAAAAAACTCCCTGAACAGTTTTATAGATATAATTTTTATCAAAAATATGTTAATCAACATACTAAAATCTTGACATGTAGTACAATTAAACATGCAGGTGTACTAATGAGAATAGAGTGGGGAATTAAAGGAGGTGGGATTAAACCAACATGAAATTTTTTTATCAATTTAATGAGTTAAAAAGTAATCACAAAAAAAATCAGTTGGAAGCACCACATGTGCCATGTACCATGGGTCAAAACCATGTACCATGGGTCAAATGGGTCAATGGGTCAAATATCACCATGTACCATGGGTTAAAAAACATGTACCATGGGTAAAAACAAAATTTTTTATTAAGTCTTATAAACAGTTTACAGTGTACATCCATACAAATTATGATATTTTCTCCTTTACAACCTAATACCCAATACCCAAAATACAAATTATGATCTCTTTTACAACCTAATACCCAAATTAGATTTTTCTGAATTAAAAATTCTGAAATTTTAAGATCTTGTGAAGTTATTATAACTGGCTTTTTGAGTTTGATTTTCTCCAAAGCAATCTACCTAATTTGTTTATTTATTTAATTTTTTTTTTTTAAAAGTGATACACATATATATTACTCTCAAAATACTGAAAATGTTAATTTTCACCCTTCTTTTTTCAACACTGTCAAATATGGCCAACTCTACATAAAACATGTTGTATGTATTTACAGTAGTAATGTATTTCTCACTGGAATCAATCAATACCATTTATAAAAAAAAAAATTCATGTTATTGATTTTTATTATTATTATTTCTATTATTAATATTATCATTATTTATTAGTGCTTTATTTTTGTTTAGCTTTCTTTTTCCATATTTTATAGTGAATAAATAAATAAGAAAAATATTTTTTGTGATTTAAATATGTTGGGATTGTTTATAATGTAAACTAAATATATAAACTTATCAAAAAAAATTATCGGAAAAACTATTATTTAATATATTTTATAAGAAAAATATTTTTTTTGATTTAAATATGTTGTGATTGTATACTATTTAATTGTCAGGTGTATTTATAATGTAAATTAAATATCAGGCACCTTGGCCGGTCACAATAATTTTAAATGCAGAAGCTGAGCAGAAGTACAACGAAATCTTTAGGTTTCTACTTAAAGTTAAAAGAACAATGTGGACTCTGGAGCAGTTAAAGTTTCAAGGTGGTTTTTTTCATTAATAATTTTTTTTTCTTCAATTTTTTTGTGAATGATTGTGTTAATTAACACATGTACCATAAAATTTGACTGGCTTTAAACGTCAATAAAAACATAAATAAATACATTTAAAAAAATATTTTTTCATATGTACATAGAATAAAATATGCAAAATAAGAAAATAAAAAAAATTTATCATAAGATTCCATATCTTCAAATTGGTCAAGTATCAAGTATTGATACCTTATACTTTTATTACATTGTACATAAAGATCAACTCTAGTGGCAATTCTACATAAGAAATCTGATGCTCATGGTTTAATATATCATTTGTAAACCATCCATGCTTGTACGCATTCCACTTAAGTATCGTCCAAAAATCATCCATAGCATGAGCTTCTGACAAGTTTTCTGTGTCATCCTTTTTTTGAACAAATAGTATCTTCTAGGTTTCAGCTAATTTGTTACCAAATTAGGATGTAAATGTAAATTTGGCCAAAAGATGTACTTGGTGTCTAAATAATATTTATTAATAAATGGTTGCAAGCGCTTTTAAAAAACTCTTTTAAATAGATCCCTTGGTTAATTGCTTAACTAGAAGGAACAATATAAATTGATGTGACTCCTTGTGGGGAGACATCCATACAAGTATTTTTTTTTTTTTCAAATTTTGCAATGCCATATTTCTTAACAATGTCTGGTGTCAAATTTTGATCATTTGAATAGTATGTATTAATATCAGTCAGTGTACTATTTGACAAAGTAAAGTAAAAATCATCGTCAATAACAAGTTTGTGGTCACAATGTTTTGAATAAAGTTGACTACTTTTTTGGCAACAATAAAGCCTCTGTTTAGGAGTTCCGCCTGATCTTTTTTTTCTTTTATAACAAAAAATAGGCTTTTTAAAGCATTTTAAGTTTTTTTCAATAGTGCTTTTACTACTACCCTTCTAGCAGCCTTTGAAAGTGACACGTCTCTTCGATGGTTAAACATTTTTCCTAATTTGATTTAGTTGTTTTGTGTATTAAAGGTAGGCCTTCTTCCATTTCCAGGTTTCTGACTCTATGGTTTATTTTGATTGTAACAGTTTATAACTATAACCGTAATAACTATAAACCGTATAACTATAAATTGTAGCTTTAGAGTAGCCATTTTGAAATGGTTTGAAACAATATGCTTTCCATCTTCATGCTTCTTTTGATAAAAATTTACACACTACTTTTTAGAGCATTTTGATTTGTTATTTATCGGGTAGACACCGAAAAATCCGGTCAACTTTAAATTGAGATTTCTCTAAAACCATAAATGCTTATTATTTCAATTTTTTTTAATAATAAATATGTTTACATTAATTAAAGTTTCAACTTAATTGGGGCTTCAAATTCCTTTATTTTCATCATTTTTATGTACTTTTTTGATATAGGAACGCATAGTCTTGAATTTTCTTGTTCAATCTCGCTGTGACGGTTTTCTTGGTATTAAACTAAGAATCGACTTTTTGGATTTATGGAATGTTATCTTTCTTCCATTTCCAGGTTTTCTTTTGAAGCTTTGAGTAGTCTTAAACTTATTTATAATATCTATGATTTTAGGTCATTTTTATGTTTAGCAATCAAGCTTTATGAAGTCAATGGATTTTTGCAAAAAAAAAATCACACTTTTTATGCACCTCAATTTGTTTTCAAAACATTTTGCAAATCATTGATTTGTAAACTAAAGTTTATCAACAATATTAAAGATAAGGAAGTAACATTTAATTAAAATAATAAAAGAAATAAACATTTGTGGTTTTTATTTCTTTCCGGTCAACTTTTTATTGAGAAATCTCAATAAGAAGTTGACCAGATTTTTCTGTGTCCACCCAATAAACAGAAATTAATCAGACAATTTGTATACTACTTGATAAAGGAAAGTTAGAGCTTTAATTTGATATCAAATACTAATTATTATATCAAACCTAGTTAGCTAATCTCAAGTGTCTCAAATCTTCATGGCACAGGTGTTATTAGTGATTGTATAAATTACTTTTCAGTATTTTTTATCGAATCCTAAATTTGTATTGTGTTGTATTTGTGGAAGCAGCTGCTTAATAGCAAATTTGTAAACTGCTAACTAATAGTTAATACAATTAAAATAATAAGTATATGCAAACTAATTAGAAAAGCTTTCTAAGCAGGGTGTTTAGTAAGTGCAAACTAGTGTCAATGTGCCAACCAATTTTAAAAACAGTTGTGTTAGTTTGAAATTATTGCATAAATTTGTTATAATATTATTTTAAAAACACATATGTTAGTGTGAATTTTAAATGCAAATTGGTATAAATACTACAATGATTTTACAAACAGTAGTTCAAAAACCTAAAAAGAAAGCTAATGTGTTATTTTTAAATTGGTACAGATGGGACAAATTGATCATGACAGGTTTGGGGGTGAATAAGTATATTACGCATAAAAAGCATATAAAGATGTTGCTAAATGTGCATGTTAATAAATACAACTAGTATATATAGTAATATCTCAACTAGTATGCATTTGCACCAAAGTTTGTGTAATTACTAGTTCCAGCTTTTTTAGTTGTGTATTTTACTTTAATTTGATTTTTGAAAATATTATTAGAGCTTATAAATGAACCAAGCATGAGCCAATCACACCCAACCATAGGTGATACTTTTGATATAGAGTTAACATGTAAATTCAAGAAAGATGATTCTGTGCTTGAACCAATCAAACAAAAGTTAAAGGTTATAGTTCTTTATTTTTTTTTTTTTTTTTATGATATAGCATAGTTAAATATCATTAAACAAAACAACTTAGTAGTAAAATTTTTTTTAATTATTACTCAATTGCTGTCTATGTTTTTTGATCAAAGAATTTTTTAAAGTTGTTATAAATAGCTGTACTTCATATAAAAGATATCTATAAATAAAAGTAATTTCTGGTAACTTTAAACATATATTTCACCCTTATTAATCTACTTTCTTTTTGCATTCTGAATCCTGTGATTGCTTATAATAATTCTGGGATTTAGGAAAAAAAATTGATAGATCTTAGAATTTATGAATCCTGGCATCCCAGATCACAAACCTTACTTTAAATTAATTTGAATATGTTTCTTTTTTTACCTCAACCACTACGCAACTCCTTCTTATCTTTTGAATAAGGAATTTTTTACAATTTTCAAAAAAAAGTTTTAAAGTATGGAAAAATATCACTGTAATAAAGTATAGAGTATACCTATAAATTTTTATATTTGTATGTATGTGTTTCATATTTATGTGCACACTTTATTTCTATATGTAGTTTTTAAACATATGTTTTGTAAATTTACAAAATATTTTAGTTGCATATGCTTATTTTATCACCTAATGTTTTAGTTACGCATGCTTATCTTTCGAATGAAAATGATGCATGTTATTCGAAACTTTCATTTCTACTTGGTTTCAAGAGTAAGTTTTTATGTTAAAGTATTTTTTTTTTTTTTATAAATTAACAGATGAAATATTTTCTAATCAGTCAGTTGTATTTTAGAAAGTTACTTCAAACAAGATTCAATTAAGCTTTAAGGTTGAGAGGGTAGTGTGCTTTTTAAGGTTGAGAGGATACTCTTGTTGTTTTCACATTAAAAATAAAATGAAGTTATAAATATTAAAAATTATTTTTAAATCTTTTTATGTCTTGTTAAATGCATAGTTACAAAATTTTTTTTATTATTTTAAATTGGTATGTGTAAACATTCAGATTAAAAATAAGTTTTTATTGTCTAAAAGCTAAAGATGATATTTTTCCTAATTGTAGAATAATAATAATTTACAATGAGGGTTAAATACAGATAATATATGCATGCAACATATATACAAATTTACATGAGTTCTTTATTCGAATTATTATTCTTTTAGTCTTTAAATTCACTTGTTTTTGTTGAAAATTTTATTTATAGATGTCTAAAGATTTGTTTAGAAACTTTGGAAAATTAAGTTTAAAGGTAGTAACTGTATTTGAAGTTCATTAATAAGTTATAAGTTAGACGCTGAGTTTGAAGTATAGAAATGAAAATAAAGGTTTGAAACAGAGTTATGAGCATTTATGGTACTTCAGACTAGATATCTTAGGCTGAAACTAACCCCGGTATCTATGCCCATTAAGTAGGACTTGCTACTGATCCTAGTTAAGTAGGACTTGCTACTGATCCTAGTTTTGAAAACTTATTATAGTTAATATCTTACACATTTTATATTACATTCTGCTGATGAATTTTTTTTTTTAATTTTTCTTTCAAGATTCAGAGCGTAACTTTTTTTTTTTTAAAGATTCAGAATACAACCTGTGCCGAGTTCGATGCAAAGTTAAAAGAGGTATAAACTGTTTCAAATTTTATAAATACTTTATTTTTAAAAATAAAAAAAAATGTATTTAAAATTGTTAGTAGTTACTGATTGTTAGTTTTAATTATATTTATGGCTAAAAAATTGTTTTAGTTTTATTTTTCTTAAGGCTAAAGATTTAGATAAGGTATTGGAGCATCACGAAACATTTTTGCTAAATTTAAAACAGCGATGTCTTTTACGAGAAAAGGTTTGTAAAGTATACATAATAATTTTTTTTTTTTTAATTCGACTCAGTCAAGTAGGTTTTCTGAGCTAGCAAGACTGAGAAGATTTGTTAGAGGTTTAATTTATTAGAGGGGTGTTATTGCTAGAAACCATGATATTTTTTTAATCAACCTTTCTGTAAAACTTTTCTTTTAAATTTGATAATTTTTTACTTGGGAAAAGAATTTGCTAGGTTTTTTTAAATATATAATTTTCAATCTTTATAAAATATATAAAGTTTAATTTTCACTACTATGTTTGATCTTCTCTGCTCCGACTGTGCATACGTATTTGCGATAAATTTATGATTAACTTGGCTCATAGTTATTATGGTAGAAAGAAATGCTTAATAATGTATAAATGAACTTGATATAATAACCACCACTAAACCGGGTTTTTTTTGGTCTGTTAGTAAATTTAAAGGTTTTGCGTTCAACCCTTCTTTTCAAATCGAAAAAATCTGAATATTTTATCTTTCAAATCGAGAAAACCTGAATATTTTAGCTTGCATATATAGTTAATTAACAGATTATTCAATCTTAGACTAAGAAAACAAAAGCAAAACCTACTTTTTTTTAATGTTTATAATTATAACATCACCCAATCCAACTATTGGAGTTTTTTTTACCGATTTTGAATGAAATAACGTTAAATTGAAATATTTGAGTATACTAACCATCAACCTTTAGTCGTTTTTTTATAAAAATATTAAATAGGTCAACTTCATTTTTCAAAACCTGATAATTCACAGTGTGAAAGTTTATGAAATAGAAAATGTTTCATAATTTTATAAAGTTGTTGTTTTTAATCACAAATTATGTGTTTTTAATATAGTTTTAAAAAATTTTAAAAGTTTTTCAAAATGTTTTATTATTGCAGATTGGTCGTTCGCGTGATGCAATATTCAGAATTTTATCTCTTGTTTTTGATTTTGAAAGTTTATGGATGAGAGGATTGGTTCATTTAGAGTAATTTGTTTTGTTTGATTTATTATTTTAATTTTTCAAAATAATTTTTTAATTAGTGTTTGCCTTGATTTTTTTTTTTTTTTTTTTTGGTATTTCTTTTTTGCTTTGTTCTGTTTTTTTCAATCATAAACCTTTTAATAGTTTTTGCTGTTTGAAATAGATTACATGGAGATTTTCTGCATGTCCAGGCAGAAAATCTCCATGTTTCTATATAAATTGAAATTTAAAAATTCCGCAAGAATAAAAAAATTATAAACAAAGATAAGAGTTTAAAAAAAAATATTTTTTGACTTAATCGCATGTTTGTTTAGCATTTAAAAGTTATGACTACTGACCTATGTTGTGAACTTTTATGAAATTAAGTTATAATATTAAAAAAAAAGGTTTTCGATAAATGTTCATTTGAAAGTTTCAATGATTTGTAATTTCAAACATCAAAAACTCATAGTTTTATTTTATTTATTTTTTTATTATTATTTTTTTTTTTTAATTTATTAAATAAAAATAATAACATTTAAACTGTCTATAATAATAGTGAAAATAAGTTGAATTCGTTGGAGATTGATTTCAACAGATGCGCAGCTTTTTTGCATTCTTTTTTCAATAGTCTGGCTAAACGAGGATCTTATCCGCATTGTGAGTTAAAAATTTTTTTCTTTATAAATGTGTGTTATATATGTTTTTCTTTATATATATATGTGTATCTGTGTGTATATCATTTTTTTTTTTATGTTTTCAGTTGAATTTCTCGCAAATGCATTGAAAATCGAAGCGCATGGCCATCAATACGTATTCAGAAGGTAGATTTGTTTTGAGGGCAGTTTCAAAAGAAATTTTGTCACCTAATTCTATTTGCGTTTTTAATCAGCATGATCAAGTTCTATCCTTAACCTATTTTTATTAAATATTTTTTAAATATATCTTCGTTGCTTCAAATATATCTTCCTTAAATTATTTATTACAGTCAATTTATTTATGATATAGGCTATTAATAGAATTTATTTAAATTTAATCAGGTATAAAATAATTAGAGTTGACGCGCTTTTATTTGTTTAATTTCAAGTTGTTTAATTTCTTGATTATTTAAGATAAGTGGCTTGTAACGAAATTAGATTAATTTAAAAAAAAAATAGTATTAATGACGCATTTTTGGTATAATTGCTAAAAGCCCGTCTATAAAGTGCACACGCCAAAAATTAAGGAACTTGACCTCCCCCTCCCCTCGTTGCCATGCGTACTTTAAAGTTCCCGCTCCCCTAACTGAAAAAAATGTAAGCTTTTGAAATATCCTCATCTTCTCCTTTATGAATTAAAAAAAGTTAAAGTTTATTACAAAGTGCGTTTTTACAATGACAAGTACATGCCACTAGGCATAATGACAGTTTACATGCCGCTAGGGTTATGGGTCGGCTATCAAACAATCCAGACCTGATTTGTATATTCGAGTTAGGGTTTGGGTCGGGTATCATTGAATCCCACTATGATCCATACCCGAAATACTACTAGCTTACTACTACAATCACTAGCTGGGGGGACCCGTAAAATACGGGTCTTTACCGAACCGACCATTTTTATACTTATCTATAGCTATCCGGACGTAAACTAAGGGTCTTAGTAAATCTATTCCACACCGACCTTTTCTATACTTGCTCCTTACCTCAATATTTTTTTAAAACCGTTTAAAAATGTACATATAAAAAACTATACTTACTTTTTGATATGACAAAAACATTTCTGTTTAAATGTTCTTTTAAAAACTTCAAACGATTTTAATATTATGCCGATTATAAAAATTTTAATAAGAAAAAACGTAAAAAAGACTACGAACTTAGAAAAATGCTAAAACATTCAACACGTGACGCCGTTAAAGTACGCCTTAGTTAACGTTCATAACATATACACATCTAATTAGATTTTATTTAAATTCAGTTGTTGCAAACTTGGTTTTGAATTTTTAATTACACTTCTTATGCGTCATAAATAATCTTAAATTCTAAATAGAAAATACGTTTATGGGCTAATTGGTAGACGCGCAACACTTAGACAGATATAGTCATCTCACCCCGGGAGTTCATACTCTAGTGACCTTTTTTTTTCATCCCAACTTACAACAAAAGTAATTAAAAATAAATGTTATTTTTGAAACAGTTTTAAACATTTCTTCTTATTTATCTTTGAACTTAACTTTATTCACTGCAAATATACTTTTGGTGTTTGTAAGCGTTATTTTACGTTTAGTATTTGTAGGAATTATTTGCACGCACGTATTTTAAACAATTATTTTTACTGTTTCATCTAAAAACCTTATTTAATTTAGTTTAATAATTTCTTAAATATAATATATATAATATAATTTAAAATATTTAATTAACCCTATTTAAATAAGTATTAAAACTCTTTCCTTTAATTTAAAAAGAATTTAAAATTAACGTAGGCTATAACGATATTTTACCCTTACATCAACATTTATTTAAAAAGTAAATTTGGATATAGAAAAACGGGTTAAAGACTTATTATTTTAAATAAGTTAGCTTTATCTATTTAATGCTTTTCGTTAAAGCGTTTCTTTAAAGACTCTTAACAAATCATTCAAGCTGTTTTTACTGCCTAAGTTATTAAACCTGTTGTGTGTGCCAAAAATCGATACTTAATGCAAATGGAAACTTCGAGTGCTAATGGTGATTAAAGCATAAATGGTTCCTATTCATATATAATAAAAGGAAATATAAAAGACAAAGCAAAATTGATTTTTATATCCATTTAAAACAATAAATCCCAAAATAAAAAAATATAGATATTTACTTAAAAACATATTTTTCTTGATATAAAATAAAAATATAACCTTTAGTACAAATTACAAAAAAAAATTTATTCAACAGAGCTACTTATAATACAATTTAAATTGAATCATTGTTTCATAAATATTAAGCTTTAGGTAAGCCATAATCAAGTCAGCTATAAGAAACGGAACTAAAAATGGAGCAAAGTTATTTAAACGCATAATCATACACATTAATTACAAATTAACATGTCATGCAATCAATACTTTTGAAAACTCAAAAATGCGAATAAGAAACTTACTTTTTTATTTTTACATAACCCTGACAGACCAACATGAATGTGAGCTAAATCTATTTGCATAAAACATCACAACAATTAATTAAATAGCAGAACCACCTTCAAAGGACAAAAAAATTAGTTTTTTAAGGAAATTAGAGTTATTGGGAGGGGAGGTATTAATAAATAAAAAAGCTCAACTTGAATTTCAAAATTAGTTCATAGTTTTGTTGAGGGTTATTGAGTTATTCTGAGTTTATTATACATATTTTAAACTACTAACATCACACTCTTATATTCTTAGTTCTGGAAGGTGCTACATAAAATTTGATTGTGTGAAAACCAAATCTCTTTGAGATTAACATTAACTTTATCAAATGTATGACCGTGACTTTTATTTCTAGTTAATGAGCATTGTTGATAAAGGTGTCTTTATTTAAATGATTTACTTTGATAACATTTAACATTCATGGGAAAAATTAAAAAACAACACAAAAATAAATTTACAAAAATATATTACAAAAAAAAAAATTACAAAAAAAAAATGAAGTGGCTCAAAAGTTGTCAATTTCTTTACATTTTAAAATGTAAAAAAATTATTGACAACTTTTGAGCCACGTTGTCTTCTCCTCCCAGCATCCGCTCTATTCCCCGTGTTGTATGGGGTGCTATCCCTCCATCTAAAGGAGGGATGGTCGTCCCTATACAAACACCAGCGATGGAAGGCCCTCATAGATAGAGGGCCTGGATGCTGAGAGCAATACTTTCGGAAATCTTCCCATAACTTCGAGCCTGAAAAAAAAATTATATATAAATACAACTATCTACCTAGGTAATACTTACAAAAAATCTACTGTAAAAAAACAATAAAAGCAAATAATGTAATAAATTAAGTACAAGTGAGCACAACAACTTATTTATTTTACTCACTAATACTTGACTTATTACATTAACTAATTAAACTGGAAAGCACATTTGTAGCTATATTAAAAAACAAAAGGTACAATAAAAGCAATCAATCAATGTAATAAGTCAAGTAAAGGTGAATATATCAACTTACTTGTAACAGAAGAAGCAGCAGCTAGAGATAAATAAAAGAAAGTTAAAAATGCAATAAAACCAATTAATCCATAAATTAAGTCAAGTATAAGTGAATATAACAACTTACTTGTAACAGAAGAAGCAGCAGCTAGAGATAAATAAAAGAAAATTAAACACGCAATAAAAACAATCAAAAAAATTTTAAAAAATTTTGATTTACAGCATGATCAACATGGTTTCCTGTCATTAAACCAGTCAACAATGGCGGATAAAGAGAAAGAGGAGCTAATGCAACTTTTCCTGAATGGCAGCACAAAAAATGAGTTTCATTTAAAAACTTCTTTGCACTGCAATACTGACAATTATGGTTTAATTCTCCGAGGTAGTTACTCTCTATAGCAATATTATTTCTTGCTATGCGATGCATATTATACCTATTAAGTTCTCGCCTAGCCTGATTTCTTTCATTTTGATTACAATTTATCTCGCGGGGGGGGGGCTAACCTTTTATAGGGCTAATCTCTTTCAATTCGACGACGATTTATCTCAGCTCGCCGGGGCTCATCTCTTTCAATTCGACGACGATTTATCTCAGCTCGCCGGGGCTCATCTCCTTCAATTCGACGACGATTTATCTCAGCTCGCCGGGGCTCATCTCTTTCAATTCGACGACGATTTATCTCAGCTCGCCGGGGCTCATCTCTTTCAATTCGACGGCGGTTTATCTCAGCTCGCCTAGCCTGCCTTCTTTCATTTTGACGAAGTCTAATAATTTCATTTCTTAAATCATTAGACATAATTAGGCATCAAAGGAGTGTGTAAAAATGATGCCTAATATAATAAAAGTTGAAGTTTCTTTTTTAAACTTATCTAAAATAAAGTGTAAGCAAATAATACAGAGCATAATACTACAATCTATTATATTCTACCATATATAGCATTGTGTTAAGATAACATAGTTTTATTAAAAACTTAAACTAAAGTTATAAATTTATATAATATTTTCAACTAAGTATTGTTTATATATTTATGGTAGTTGCTATTAATTATTGACAAAATATTATAAGTATTTAATCAAAAAAAAAACAAAAAACAAATGTAATTTAAAAAACAAATTTTTTACATATAAAAACTCATAAATAAAGCAAATTAAAAAAATTTAAGGCCTGTCAACTCAGCAAGTACTGCTAGCATGGAAGGATAAAATGTAATCATCCATCAACAAAACCCTTTCATTACTTTGAAAGGCATTTAACGCAAGATTTGCAATAAATAAATACAAAACTACTAAAAGAACCTCTATAAACAATCATATTGCTTCAAGTGAAGAAACTTGGAAATATAGAAACTTCTTTTACTATTTTAATTTTTTTTTTAGATATTTAATATTCTAAAGAAAAAGGGACAATAATTTAAGGCAAAAAAATTAAAATGTCTATACATATAATATATGTATAGACATTTTAATTCTATATATTTTATTGTGTGTGTGTCTATATATATACATATATATATATATATATATATATATATATATATATATATATATATATATATATATATATATATATATATATATATATATATATATATATATATATATATATATATATATATATATATATATATATATATATATATATATATATATATATATATATATATATATATATATATATATATATATATATTGATGTACATACAAAACATTAAAATAATAATATAAAGAAAACATTCTCTATACAAAAAATCCTAAAAATTTAACAAAAGTTATTAAAACTTATGCTTCAACACGCTGTATACTTACTTTTATATATATAAAAAAAATTTGAGTTAAA